CTGTTATTTGCCTTACGCAGTTTGAGCAAATCTACAGCAATATAAATCTTCCGCAATTGAAATAACTTAAACTATATTAGAAAATAAGAATATGCATAGATAAATAAAATGCGTAAAGATTTTTCAATATAGACCCAACGGCAATAAAGGCGGACGCACTTAATCTGATTTAAAAACCTCAGAGGTGGGCTAAATCATATCAATTACGAATATTACACGCAATATTAAAACCCTTTGGATTCTATTCGAAACATTTGTTTGAATGTTGGGCTTAGATTTCTTAATCCATATTTCGGATTTTATTAGCTATTGAGGAAAGTTTAATGACTGAATATCTGTGCTCTATACAGTAGATTTCGGTGAAGTAGCTATAATTCAGCTTAGTTATTAAAGTTGATTTTATTTGGACTATTAACTCAAATTAATTGAAATGCTTACTCTTCTAGATGAACCATCAAATTTCTTTTCTAAGTCGATTTTCTGCATTGCTAAGATTAGGCTGGATTTCCACTAATGGTGGTACACTTGGATACGAACTTGTACTAGTTGTCAATTTTGATTTACTTCGACCCATTGTTATAAGCCAATTTTGATTTTATTCATCTTTTTTGGCAAACTTTGTCCGTGTTGGCTCCATGAGTTATTCATTTCATAGCTATTTATGCAAGAGGCTCTAAAATAGTATTTTATTTTATATATGTATCCTGACTTATTTTTTGATTGTTAAAATTAGTATGGATTTGGTATGACATTCCTTTTTTCACTGCTACACACAAACACCAATATGCTTGCGAATATCAGAGTGTAATTCGCCAGCTGCGGAGGGAGAACCTCACTCTCGTACAATCTCTTCGCAAGCGCAAGAGCGGGGGACTGACAGGAACGCAAGCAGCTACGGCTGCGCTTATCTTCAACCCCTTACGGCCATGCTCCTCGGCTGTCAACCTTACGGCTGGCATTGAAACGGCGGCAAGTAGTAGTAAGCACCAATCCCTCATAAGCTCAGGAGAGCTGCTTGTTGTCCGCTCTGCAAATGTCGGAGGTGATATTTCTCCTGCACCAAGCACATCTAGCGAAAATTGCGATGCTGAAGTCGATGGCGCTGGTAGCCATGGTGAATCAGCTACACCTGCCGCATCTAATGGAGCTATCTCAGACGCCATTAGCGAAGAAGAGGAAGATGTTTCTAAGATTAAAGAAGGATCACACATTCATAGACGTGCTAAACCAGAGAAAGAGGTTTTGAAATCTATTGAGGGGAACCTTCCTGGTGATCATTGTGCTTTTTCATTCTCTATTGGCATAACTCCCGTGTCGCCTGTCTGTTCACTAGTCGATGCTGCCCAGCCGGCCGTCACGGCCTACTCTGCTTCAGATCAGATTGTATCATCTATTCTCCCAACTCCCTACGATGAAAAATACGACATTAATTCTTTAACAAGAAAATCAGCCCTATCTGGACGCTCAGTTTCACCAGCTCAATCCGTCGGTTCTTCAGCATCGTCTCGATCTGTCGTATCTCTGGCTTCCTCTAGATCTTCCAAGTCACATTCTCAGCTCCATCCAATTGCAGCGGTGTCTTCTACTGAAGGGCATCTAGTCTGCAGTTCGGACAGTGACGATTGTGCCGAGGCCCAAGGAGAGAGTGAGCAGGAGGCTGAGGCGAGTGGGGTGCTGGTACTTTCAACCAAGTCTACTGGTGATTCGAAAAGGATTCTAATGGCTTCACAACCACAGTTTTCACCCTAGAGGAAGATAAAACCTTAATCCGCGACAAAAGTTGTGTGAGTGGCGTCTTTTACCTTAAGCGCACTCAGAATCCTCTGTTAGATCACTGGTCGATCCTCAAACGCTTTCTTACTTTCTCCTTTTGAAACACTCCGTTTCAATGCAGCCTGGGACTTCTTTAGAGTTCTATAATCTCGTTTATCAAATTCTGGTTGACCCCAGCCCCATCTGCATATTAATTTGTCCGTCATCATATGGGCTAATATAGATCCTCTGCATTTACTCCCAACTGTGCCCTTCAAGTTTTCTCACTTAGATTCTCAATTCCTATCAGGCCAGTATTCTCGCATGGCTTTACTTCAAGAGTTTACCAAGGACTGAGGCCATTCGTCTTGATCTTCTCCAATTTTATCCCTTCTCCTATATTCGTCTCACTGTCTCTACCATCAACTACACTTCTTTATTCTCAAAATTAATCCTTAAACTTTGATAATAATTCACTCCGAAATCATCAGGCTAGCTATGGTGAACTTGCATGATTCATTGGCAGTATGAGTTACTTGTTTCATTTTTTACTTACTGCATTTCCTATTTTTCTTCGACACCAATGAATTACAACCATAGGGTTTTTTAAGTTTCAAAGAAATTTGCTCATTTTCAAATGTTTAAAAAAACATAACTTGTTCTTAATAAACTATCTCTACTTACAGTTTACACTCTTCACATTAAATTTACCAATTATTGAGCTGTAACAACCAAGTTCTTCACCCAGTTTATTGCTCTTGCGCATAGTCAGTCTACGGAAAGGCAGTTCCTTTTAAATATCTTAAATCATTATTGTGCTAGCTACCTTAATCCTGATTCCATCATAGGCCGTAATTAGTTGGGAATTATGCTTGAACTGATCATCATATATTTGAGGCTAAATTTTTGAAATTAGTTAACATTATCTTCAATTTCAAAGTTTAAAAAAATACTTGATAGAGGCCGATGTTCAGGCCTGAGTGAAATCCCAACTTTGATCCAGTAATTACACAAAGTCATTTTTGGGGTCGAAGTCGCAGGGAAATCATTATGATGAAGC